CATTTCTCTGTCCCTTCCTTGTGAGGTTGAAGCCTTCCTCCGATGGGTGTTCACATTGAGGCAAAATCCTGTTAGGACACAGCCCAGGTGGGAAGGAATCAACTGTATCAGCTCCCCCCCCGCCCCCCTCGCAGCAACTCTTCTTTTCTTTCTTGTCCACTTGAAATTATTCAAGCACTCCTTTTTTCACTTTTGAGAAGTGTCAGTTGGTCTACAGGATAGACAGTAAGTACTGATTAAATTTTACATGTGAACTGTTTATTTTGTATATAATGCATAAATGAGAATTCAAAACACAGGCACATGGGTTGCGGGCTCTTTTGCAGTTGGGACTCTCAGAGGAGTTAAAAAGAGGAGAAGATAGACTGGAGTTTATTTTACTTTCTTTTTCTCCTCAAGCTGAGCTGGAAGTCCACAGGTTCAAACGGGGAGTCATCTGCTCCTTTTGACAATAAATCAGGTAAGCCCACCTTTGCAAAACGTTCTGCAGTGTTGATTTAGGTCCCACAGTATGCATGATAATCTTTATATATTATTTTTAAGAATGAATGTGCCCTATTTCAGGGGAAACAATTTAGAGTGACTACCTTTTGCTTAAGTGAAGCCACTTCAAAGGATAACTTCATAAAAATTACTTTACACATCACTGGCAACAAATTCCTTCGTGGAAAACCAAGAAAAAGTGAATATGGGAGAATTTGGGTATTAACACATGGTTATCAATTTTGTGCTCTTGTAGCCTTGGTCTATTTGCCACATTTATGTAGGAGAGGTTAAGTCTTGTAAAGGGAAATCTTAATGCACAGCGAAAGTTACAGGCGTGCAGGGCTTTACCCCCTGTGGCTGTTGGAAAATTCAAGCAAAGGACCGGTATTTCTGGATTAAAGGACCATGTGCTTCCAGAGTCCTGCCCTTAATTCATCAGTCTCTCAGCAAAGGCTCAATACGAAGGAGGGTTTGGGCGAGAGCAGAGAAGTGATGGAGGACAGGAAGTGAGATGGAGGAAGGAAAGAGAGAAGTAAGGAAGGGACTGAGCCTCAGATATGGAGGCACACGGAAAGGAAGCTGAGAAGTGAAGGTTCATAGCCAGAAATGCCAAGCACAGTCCAAGAGGGCTTGCCAGGGGAAGGGAGGCAGGAAACAGGAGCGGTGGGCAAGTCCGGAGTTCTGTGTTATCTTCCAGAATTTAAACGGAAAGGTCGGACCACAGCAGACAATAGATTAAGTACATGAGACTGAGCTGGTGAAATAGAATTTTACGACTTTTGACTAAAACAGTACTGATCTTCTATGCTTCGTTTTCCAGAGTTAAGGATTTTTGTCTTCTCTTGAGCTGTCCACAGCTCCACGTACCTACTATTTGAACAGGATCCTAACCTGTTTCCTGGCTTTAAGTCTTGAGCAAAATTCTTCTAAAATTTTTAAATTTTGATTGATTAAAGCTAAAACTGCCTTTCTTGAAATTGAAAAATATATTTAAAAATACCTATATAACGGGACCAGCGGGTGTCACGGTGGGTAAGGGGCTGGCTGCTCCCCAATTGACGG